GACGCCACCGACGGTTCCGAGCACGGCCGCCCGGTCGCGGTGAGTAGGGCAGGCACTTGTTGCGGCGGCGGCCCCTTCACCCGAAAACACTTCCCCCTGACGCGGATCGGGCCACGGAGAAACTTCTCCATGCGTCCGCAACTCCTGGGTCTCGCTTGAGGGAGGATAACATGGCAGGGAGCTGAGCGGTTGTCATCTTCGGGAAATGGCTCTGTAGCCTTACTTTGGGAGAACATTACCGTGAGGACCTTGCATGAGGCCCGGCCTGGGAAGGCTGACGAACGTTAGCTGAAAGGTTTTTCTTCCAGACTTGATTCCGAAATTTTGAGAACTTTATTTTGGAACAGAGTAGGAGTCGAGTTGCCTGTGATGTAGGGAGTTCTTGCGCAGTACTCCTGGCCTCATTTATTCTGCAAATGATTATTGGGTCTTTGCTCTTTGCAAGGTCCTGTGCTGTAAGCCTGGCGGTCAGGGCTTTCAGTTGACCAAATCAGACTGCTCCGAATGGAATATCAAAAAATCTTTGGAAACCTTAGTAAAATGCTCAGCGACTTGCATAAAAGTATTCCTTGTTTTCAGGTAGCCCTGAAATTCATGAATTTGAGATTCTTGCAATATTGTTGACAATTCCAGTTTTAATTTGAGGCCTGTCTGAAATCTCTGATATTAGATAGTTATTCCTTAATTATTATGCCCTTTGGGTACTGAGTAGGTATTCGTGAAATTTGTTAGAGTTTGTTTTTTCTCCCTAAAACTGATTTATAAAAGAGAGATAAGTATTTTTTTTGGCGGCTGGCCGGTACAGCGGAGATATTTTGTGTGACTTTCTTGGTAATTTAAAGTTTAAAACAGATGTTATGAATCTAATTTATTCGGTGTATTTTTATTCATACGTTTATAATCTGTCCCCTGGGCTGTTGTAGTACTCTTCCCTAACTAGTCTTTTGGCGTTTAGTCTCCTTATCCCTTCCTCTCTAAATGCTAGAAACCCTTCTATTTCTTGAAGGGATGAATTTCAAATTCTTTGGCTTGGCTCTTGGGACCAATCTGACCTAACCCGTCTTTCCATGTCCCCCACAGATCCTCTTCTCTGATTGAATTGTTTTCTTCATTCTCTCCCACACTAGCCTGGACTACTGGACTAGAAGACAATACTTGGGTTGAAACCCAAGTTTCATTGCTTATTGTACCGACTGGTCAAATCTTCTCATCCTCACTTGTCTCATCTGGAAACTGGGGGTTTTTGGGGCTTCTTATCCCCCAGGGTTCTTATAAGATTCAGAAGAAACGAGTGTGTATGTGAAAGTAGTATTTCATAAACTGAAAGGCTGCCTGCAGGATCCTCTTCAGCACCTTTCAGAATCCTGCCATCCCTGCCAGTCCCAGCTCATTTCCTTCTTCTTTGAAGCTAATTTCTGACCACTCTAGCCCACAGCAATAAGAATCTCCTTTGCCAAAACATTTAGGAAACATAATGTCTGTGCTACTTCTTTTTTCCACATTGTCACATATTACTTTAGGTCATGTCTTGCCAAGTAGACTGTAAGATCTTGGAGGCTGGAAGGACTTGGGTTCAGAGTTCCCTACACATCTTAGGCCCTCAGCACTTGTTGTGATTGACATTAAACTTGGTGGTGCTTTTTACTCAGTAGTCTTATCCTCAAGTATGCTAACCTGAAAAAGCAAAATGGCTTAACTTCATGAGCCACTTTTACTAACAATTCTTGTTTTAAGGACAAGTTTTTAAGAGTAGTGGGTGGTTATTCCAATTGAAGTAAATAATGAAAGCTTATAAAAATCATAGTTTTATACACAGATAGTTGCCTTGAACACTCCCAAAAAAGTATATTAGTAGTGATTCAATTTCTGTTTAAAGTTATAAGAGTTTAGACCCTATATGATTTTTCAGTCCTGAATCACTGGAGAGAAATCGGGTGTGCTGTTTGAAGAAAAATTCATTCTAAGTGTGTTAGAACTTGAATCTGGCTTGTCCATCATTCCTTTGAGCATCAGAGCTTCATCAGATGTGCCATGTTATGTTGGTTGATGTCTTATGATATTAAACCTTGACCCATGGATATCATGAGTTTAGTATTTAGACTGGAAGTGCTCTCCATGTCTACTACGAGAGGGACTCTTTTTCATTCCAGGCTCCAAGTGATTCTAGCTGAGCTCTTTGGCCTTGGAATGGGGGTCTAGGAACAGAAGATAAGTATCACTAAGAAAACAGTGGCAGTTTTTATTTTAGTGGTTTCTTCAGTTCAGAGCGGGGAGAGTCCTTGACTGGGTAGGATTTTGGCTTGGAGAGCACAGCTTTGCACAGAAAGATGGAAAGAAAAAGGTGCCTTTTATTTCTTTCTCTTTTTTTGGCAGTTGGTTGGTACAGGGATCCAGCCCTGGACTTTGGTGTTATCATCACCACTCTAACCAGCTGAGCTAACCGGCCAACTGAAAAGTGCCTCTTAGTCATTGTTATTTTTGACAACTCTGTGTATGTATTTGATATCATTCATGTTTCTTACACAAGGAATATTATTATTATTTTTTTCCAGGTGTGCTATAATACTGTTAGGCAGTCATTTCACAGCCAAAGTTACCTAATCAGCAAACCATTTGTACAACTGAGAGGGGGTTAGATTTGCTAATAGAGTTCACCTTCACTTCAGATTATCATTTTTTCTTTTTTTTTTTTTTTTTTTTTTAAAGATGACCGGTAAGGGGATCTTAACCCTTGACTTGGTGGTGTCAGCACCACGCGAGCAAACCGGTCATCCCTATATGGGATCCGAACCCGTGGCCTTGGTGTTATCAGCACCACACTCTCCCGAGTGAGCCACGGGCCGGCCCAGATTATCATTTTTTCTTCTTTGGATATCCAACCATGGCAAAGTCTCAACCACTGTCTGCTTACTGTGTTAGAGATGATCCAGGAACAGTATTTCAGGCTTTTTTTTCTATTTTAGTTTTCACGGAGTGAGCCTATTAGGTTTTTTTTGTACTATGTGTGCTCTTTAAAAACAAATAGTGTTCTAATGACAGGATTGAATTATTTTTATTAGGAATGCAGGGTTATGGAGAGTTTTCCACGCACTTTATACAAGCATTCATTTTCTGAATGAGAATAGTCTTTTACAATAACTTGAACATTTTCTTTCTGCAATAAAATTACTTAAAGGTTTACTCCCAGTCCTTTATCAACTGTTGTTACACTTTTGCTGCTGAGCACAGAGGAACTTACCTGTAAGTGGTAGGAGTAGTTGACAAATTTGACAGCATGCCAACAATTCATCATGGAAGTTGCTTTTCCTACTTTACCTAGGTTTTAGGTGTGTGAAATTTTTCTCTCTTTTTTTTTTTTTTGTGACCGGTAAGGGGATCGTAACCCTTGGCTTGGTGTCACCCGCACCACGCTCAGCCAGTGAGCGCACTGGCCATCCCTATATAGGATCCGAACCCGCGGCCTCAGTGCTGGGAGCATCGCTGCACTCCCAGCGCTGCACTCTCCCGAGTGAGCCACGAGCCACGGGGTCAGCCCTTTCTCTCTCTTAAAACCTTTTATATGAAATAATTTCAGGCTTAGAGAAAAGCTACACAAAGAGTGCAAAGAACATCTGCATACCCTTTCCAAGATTCACCTATATTGTTACCATTATGCTCCAGCTTTAAACATTGTTTCTCTCTCTCTCCCACCCTACCTCTGCATTTCTCTCCTTACCCCCTCCTTCTCCTCCCTCTCTCCCTCTCTCCTTCTCTCCCTTTCAGATTTTTGTTCTCTGAACCACCTGAGGGTGTGCTTCACACCTCATGGCTCTCTATCCCCAAACACATCAGTGTGTACCCTCTAAGAGTTAAGAAAGGTGTGCAAAATTTTAATAATGATTTTGTTGACCAAACTCATATAAGAATTATGCAAATAGCAAATTATTTCCAGGGAGTAGGTATTTCTGAACATAAAACAAATTCTTTACTGTAATCATGTGGGATAGTCTTTTAAAAAAGATTACAGATATGGCTTTAGGATCCCATTTCTTCCTATAACATCTGGGACCTTGTCCTAGCACCCCCTTTCCTTTTTTGTCTTCAGTCTCTCCTTTCCCACTGGGTCCTTCCCTTCAGCTTGAAAATAGGAGCAAATATTCTCCACACTGGCAAGTCCTTTCTTTTGTGTTTTCTCACTCTCAAAATAGTATTCTATATTTTTCCTTCCCATGGCTCTTTCCACTTAAACTTCCCATTTACTCATTAGCCCATTGTAATCTGCGTTGTACTCTTGTACTCTTCTGATATTGCCCCGTTAAAGGACACCGAGGATGGAATTTCCAAATTCAGTGGCTTCTTAGTCATTCTTCTTGACATCCTCCTTCATAAAACACTTCTCTTAGCTTTTGCTCTCTTCTGATTTTCTTTCCAGCTTTCTGACTTTTCCTCATTCTCCTTCACTTTCCCTTATTAATTCATGTGACAAATATTTGAGTACCTACTGTAGGCCAGAGAGTATTCTAGGCACTAGGGATACAGCAGTGAACAAGACAAATCAAAACTCTGCTCTCATGGAGAAAGAGAAGATCAATTTTTTTTTTTTTTTTCCGTGACCGGTAAGGGGATCGCAACCCTTGGTGTGGTGTTGCCCACACTGCGCTCAGCCAGTGAGCACACCGGCCATTCCTATATAGGATCCAAACCTGCTGCGGGAGTGTCGCCGCACTCTCCCGAGTACGCCACGGGCTCGGCCCAAGATCAATATTTTTTAAAGTTAATTTTAAGGTATAATAAATGCTAAGCAAAAATGTAAAAAATAATGTGATATCCAGCGACTGACAGTAGCTAACAACCTAAGATGCTGTCTTGGTTTGGGTCTGGAGTCCATCAGTCAGCTGAAAGTCTCAGGAGAGAACATTCAAGTTAGAGAGAAGCACCAGCACAAAGTCTCAGAGGCAAAAACATTTTTTCTGAGTTTGCATGAAGACCAAAAAGAAGGTCAGTGTGTCCAGAGCATGGCAGGTAGGCAGCTGGTATGAAAGGTGGGTAAGCATGGTCAA